TTATTACTATTGGCATCCTTATATTAACATAAAAGACAAAAATACTCTCCTTCTCTGTATCGTGTCACCATTGATATTATTCATGTTGTCATTATCATAGTTACGTCATCCTCCCTACACCATCGTTCTTCTTAGACGAGGTTGAAAAAAAAAGTTTAAATCGTATCTTATTTTTATTTAATTTAATTTTTATTATTGTTTTGTTGTGAGGATAAACATCCTGTATGCAACCATAGATACCTTTATAATTAGCCTTGTTTTAGTGAACAATATTGCATTTATTGTTTTGAATTGTGATGATTAAATCCTTTTGTTAGCAGCTGCCTCGTACTCAATAGATTATTTTTTAATTCTAGAACATAGTATATACATGTGTAATAACATGTATAATTCTATTGACCATCATCTTGTTATCCTCATATGGTTATTTTATCTTTACATTCTATTGAGGTCATCAGTAAGATCTCTTCTTCTTATTTCTCTTTATCCTCTGTTTCAGTGTAGTGTGTCTTCTTTTCCCACAAAGAACATTCATATTGAAAATGTCCAAACTTGTGACACCTGAAGCATTCAACTTTGACCTTGTTGAATGTTTGTCTTACTCTTTCTTTACCTTGAAATCTTCCTTTACTTCTTCCTCTTCCTCTTTCACCTTTCTAATTTACCAATGTTTGCATAACTTGTTTTTCAGTTGTTGGAAGTATCATTCTTTGTTCATGTTTGTAGTTCGTCTATTGTCATAGTTCTAAGTTATTTGATCTTCAATGGAGCACATCAGATAATTGAATTTGACTATCATAGATTGCAAGATTTTTGCAGTTATGGCACTCTCTTACATACTTTCTCTAAAAACTTTCATACTTTTGGCAATCTTCAATGTTTTAACAAAATAAGAATTCATAGATTCTCCCTCCTTCATCTACTGCATTTTGAACTCCTTGTGTAGGGCTTGTAATTGAGCATGTTTAACTCGTGTTGAACTTGGAACTTATGTTTCATGGAATCCCACATATTTTGGACATTTCATCATTGAGAATGGTGTCTAGAATTTCTCTATCTATTGCTTGATAGAGATAGTTTTTTATCTTTAAATCCTTAAGTTTCTACTCCTTCATTACTTTGATTTATGTCTCTAATGCAATAGCTTTATCTAGGACGAGGTTCACTCCATGTTCCACCAAATGCCAATATTCCTTTGACTAGAGGAAATTCTCCATAAGCTTTGCCCAGTGATTGTAGTGTCCATCAAATTTAGGAATTGTAGGCTATGCATACTTTGTTCAATCAGACATTCTTCTGNTGAAGAGAGAAAACCTTCTGGGATTTGTTGGATGCGTTTTAGAGAAACTTGCGATAACCTGCTTATTAACTTTTATTAAAAATAATAATAAAGTGGATCTCGTATGTTTTCTTTTTACCTCCCATTTTTACTATTTAGCACCAATGTGAACTTTTCTTTTACTCTGTTTTAGAGTTAAACTGGTTTCAAAACTGACCTACATTTTATATATATATTATTTTTATGCTTCTACCGAAACCCACATTATTACTATTGGCATCCTTATATTAACATAAAAGACAAAAATACTCTCCTTCTCTGTATCGTGTCACCATTGATATTATTCATGTTGTCATTATAATAGTTACGTCATCCTCCCTACACCATCGTTCTTCTTAGACGAGGTTGAAAAAAAAAAGTTTAAATCGTATCTTATTTTTATTTAACTTAATTTTTATTATTGTTGTGAGGATAAACATCCTGTATGCAATCATACGTACCTTTATAATTAGCTTTTTTTTTTAGTGAACAATATTGCATTTATTGTTTTGAATTGTGATACTTATATCCTTTTGTTAGCAGCTGCCTCATACTCAATAGATTATTTTTGAATTCTAGAACATAATATATACATGTGTAATAACATTTATAATTTTATTCACCATCATCTTGTTATCCTCATATGGTTATTTCATCTTGAGTCTAAGAATCATTCATTTTATTTTTTCTTCTTTACATTCTATTGAGGTCATCAGTAAGATCTCTTCTTATTTCTCTTTATCCTCTGTTTCAGTGTAGTGTGTATTCTTTTCCCACAAGGAACATTCATATTGAAAATGTCCAAACTTGTGGCACTTGAAGCATTCAACTTTGACCTTGTTGAATGTTTGTCTTACTCTTTCTTTACCTTGAAATCTTCCTTTACTTCTTCCTCTTCCTCTTCCACCTTTCTCATTTACCAATGTTTGCGTAACTTGTTTTTCAGTTGTTGGAAGTATCATTCTTTGTTCATGTTTGTAGTTCGTCTATTGTCATAGTATCTAAGTTATTTGATCTTTAATGGAGCACATTAGATAATTGAATTTGATTGTCATAGATTGCAAGATTTTTGCAAATATGGCACTCTTTTACATACTTTCTCTAAAAACTTTCGTACTTTTGGCAATCTTTAATGTTTTAACAAAATAAGAATTCACAGATTCTCCCTCCTTCATGTACTGCATTTTGAACTCCTTGTGTAGGGCTTGTAATTGAGCATGTTTGACTCGTGTTGAACTTGGAACTTCTGTTTCATGGAATCCCACATATTTTGGACATTTCATCATTGAGAATGGTGTCTAGAGTTTCTCTATCTATTGCTTGATATAGATAGTTTTTTATCTTTAAATCCTTAAGTTTCTACTCCTTCATTACTTTGATTTATGTCTCTAATGCAATAGCTTTATCTAGGATGAGGTTCACTCCATGTTCCACCAAATGTCAATATTCCTTTGACCAGAGGAAATTCTCCATAAGCTTTGCCCAGTGATTGTAGTGTCCATCAAATTTAGGAATTGTAGGCTATGCATACTTTGTTCAATCAGACATTCTTCTGAATGATATTTCAAGAAGAAAAACACATGATTGTTGTTTCACTCACTCTTTATCCAATGTTTGATTTGAGAACCCTAGTGTATCACTCAATTCACTCAGAATTTTCTGGTTCAAGTCCCTGTTACGGAGCTCTAATACTAAATTGTTAATTCAAGCAAGTAAATAAGATCTTCTTAAAATTGAAGTGATGTTTCTTATTCACAAATTGTAAAAATGAACTACAACAATTTAAATAAATATGCAGAAGCAACAAATTTTTCCCGCACCATGCGTGAAACTTAGGTGGTTACCTAAAAATCAAGAGTTAAACTTTAGCATCTTTATCCTTACAAAAACGATCAATATGACTTGCATTTTTGGAATCATAAAACTAAATCAATTTAAATGCAAAAAAAAAATTTAAATAACTTAACTACTAACACTTTTACTATGATTCTTCTTTAAATTTTCCTTATCCTTCAATCATTCACCACCCATCACACGATTACCATCCATCTTCTTTTTCATGCATCTTCTCTTAATATGGCTAGGTGGTTAATTAAGGGATGAGAAATATAACGAGTGGTTTGTAGGAAAGATGATAAAAGATATAATGGCCAAAACGGAGGAGTTATCCTTACTTCTTTTTTGTTCCTTTCTCGCGTTATGTTACTACGACAGATAGAACTCAAATCATAAAAAGAAAGTGCAAGTTGTGACATTAAAAAAAATAAAAAAATTTTAATATTTTAATATAATTTTGATGAAAAATAAAATAAGAATATTATAATTTAAGATGCAAGCAACCATTAAAAAAAATAGGAACTCAATTGAATCCATGAGAAAATATAAAAACTAAATTAATAATCAAATATTTTATTAAATTGATAAGTGGTAATTTTCTAAATAGCATTAACTCCAATTCAATATAAAAGCTATAATGACTTTATTTAACAAAAATTTGAATTTAGTTAAATAAAAAATAAATATAAAGATCAAAATAAATCAACCATTTAAATATAATAACTAAATTACTAAACCTAAAATACATTATTAATGATGTTTTCTTACGTTTTTATAATTTTAGAAACTTAAGCAGGAACATATTTACAGTGGCTATTTATCCTGGTTTTATTATATCCTTTAATTTAGATCGATTAAAAAAATTGGTTTGGATTTCTTTGTCGAATAAAGATTTTGTCAAATAAATTCATTTAAATATGATAATAATTTATCAATCAAATAATTTTATTTTTAATTATAATTATTACTTATTGTATTTATAATTTAACGAGTTTTTTGTCCACATATAATTTTGTATTCCTAGTGATTATATTTTCTGGAGTATTATACTTGGGAAAAAAAATCATAAACATGTTTAGTTTTTGCATATTGAACAAATTTAGAAAAAAAGTTAAAAATCATTTCAATTAAAATTGAAAATAAAAAATAACAAATATAGTAAAAATAAATAGTTATTATGAAGATTTAATTTTCCTAACTATAAGAATACCAAAAAATATATATTTTGGTAACCATCTAACTAGAAAATAAATAATAAAAAGCGGACGTGAAGAACAGTTGCAATAGGTACGTACGAAAATCACAAACTGAGTCAAATTCCATAACACCCATTATCTTATTTTATGTCTACAGTTACATTGCGATGCATTTTCATTTCATTCAATCTTTCTCTCTACACGTTGCAATTACCACACTAAACACACACTAAACTTCACTGCTCACACAGCTCTTAATATTTGAAGCAAAATCGTTTTATTCAGACGACGTCGGAAATGACCTCTCTACCGCCACCGAATGCCCCGCGCCACGCTCCCTTCCAACCGCCGACGATTTCCGGCCACGTCTTACCGCCACGCAAACGGTAACTTCACCACCATCATGTTGCCGGAATCCGCCCTCGTTTTCTGGCGGAGCATCGGTGCCGCACTCTTCTTCCTCCTCGTCTCTTTCTCGTGTCTACTCCTCTTCAGAAACGCCGATTACTCTCGCTTCACCTCTTCCAATCACTTCGGTCGCGTATCTGCTGTTTTTCCGTCCAACGATTCCGTCGCGGTGAGTTCCATTCCGCCTCTCTCACTCTCTCCGTAATTTTTGCTGGCGTTAAGTATTCCTAATTTATCGTGATTTGGAAAGTGTTTGTGTGTTAACTTTGATCACGGTTTTAAACTGCCGTGGCAGTTTCCTCGCGTTTTTATGCGGACAAAAAAAATTTGCATTTGTGACGGAAATCGTTTTTTTAATTTTCGATATGATTTTCCTAACGGCGGAATGTATACCGATTACTATAGTTCTGAACAAGATTTTAAGGAACGTAAACGGTTACCGTGATTTCTTAATTGCATTTGTCCGTAATTTCCTGCTATGTTAATAATCTCGACGAATCTGTGAGATCACAGCTTATACCTTGGTTCTGAACTGAAAATTATGTTGTTGAATTGGATTAAAGGCTCTGTTAATTGGAACAATACTTTGTATATATGGTGAATGAAATTCAGCTCTTGAAAAATGCCATGTCGATCTTGGATGTGTTTGGTTATTCACTTGAGAAAGATTGTAGTGATGACGGAAGAGTAATGGAAGAGGTTGAAACTTATTGAATTTCATTATTATTGTTATTTTTTCTTGGAGTAGTTGAAGGTGTAGGATGGAAGCAAAATTCGGAACGCTATCAAATGTGAATAGTTAGGTGAACGGATATACCTGGTTTTGTTAGAATTTGTTATCGTCTTATTTTTTTACCAGAGGAAATCCTAATTTTGTCCTGCCAAAGCTAAATGTGTAACCAAATTATCCCCCTACAAATTTTGGTCGTCAAATTAATTAAATTCGAAGATTTGTTGTCTTTAGTTCATCCAAGATTTTATTACCACTTTGAAGATTTTGTTGCCAGATTATGTAGAAGGATTTGGTAACTGGTTAAATCTGAGGGACTAATTTGGCAACAAATTTAAAGACAGAGTGCTGCTTAGAAAAATATTAATATTTTCATTGGAATTAAGGAAGACCGCATATTTTTAACTACTTTTAGATACATTAATCTCAAATGGTGAATTTCGAATAATGGTTCTAGAAGAATCACTCATTGTTTGTTTAGCTATTATCCATAACACTTTTACATCCGAGTTGCATCTCCACCACTCTACTAGATCTGTCAATCACGATCCAATTGATGCCTTTTCATTTCTTAAATTATGACTGAAAATTTCTACTTTGCCTGGAACTTTAAAACTACGATAGGCATAGCCTAAATTGGAAGATTTTAATATTATTGTGGTTTTTGTTTGTGTAATTTATTAATGGAAGTTGCATTTTTTTTTCTGAAATAATTCTTTTGCAGATAAGCAATGAGTATTCACTTGAAAATATTCTGAATGAGGCTGCTATGAAAGACAAAACTGTTATCTTGACCACATTAAATGAAGCCTGGGCAGCACCAGATTCAATCATTGATCTATTCCTTGAGAGCTTTAGAATTGGAGATCGTACTCGCTGGCTTTTGAATCATTTAGTAATTGTTGCATTAGACCCGAAAGCTTTTATGCGTTGTCAGGCAATACACTCCTATTGCTATTTGCTTGCTAGTGAAGCCGTTGATTTTCATGAAGAGGCATTTTTCATGACTCCTCGTTACTTGAAGATGATGTGGAGACGGATTGATTTCCTGCGATCCGTTCTAGAGTTGGGGTACAATTTTGTGTTCACGGTTAGTATTTAATCACTAACTTTCTCATGTTTACTTGGACTGACTTGATTAATCCTTGAGATCATGGAAATACTTTCACGAGTTCTGAAGTTTGCAAATCATTTAAATTTGCCTTATTTTACATCCCGCTGGTTAGGATAATCTGTAGCAGCAAACTGTATCATTCCAGCTATGTATTTTTTTTCTTTATTTTGGTTTTACTGATTTCCTTTCAGAGGAGACTTTTTTTTGGAGAGAGATGTAAATATAAGATATCTAACTTTGATACTTATGTCTTCTACCAGGATGCTGACATCATGTGGTTTAGAGATCCGTTTCCTCGGTTTCATACGGATGCAGATTTCCAGATAGCCTGTGATCATTTCACAGGCAGATTTGATGATGTAGAGAACAGACCCAATGGAGGGTTCAACTTTGTACAGTCCAATAATAGGTCAATTGAGTTTTACAAGTTCTGGCATTCTTCACAAGAAACCTACCCCGGTTACCATGATCAGGATGTTCTCAATTTTATCAAGGTTGACCCTTTCATTACTGATTTAGGACTGAAGATGAAATTCTTGGATACAGCTAATTTCGGTGGGCTTTGTGAGCCAAGTAAAGATTTAAATAAGGTTTGCACGATGCATGCAAATTGTTGCTATGGTATGGATAGTAAACTTCATGATCTTAGAGTCATGCTTCAAGATTGGAAATATTATTTGACCTTAGCTCCAAGTTTGAAGAGGTTGTCAATTATTTCCTGGAGGGTACCTCAGAAATGCAGGTTGACCACACACTCAAGCTTTCCCATTCAATATTTTGATTTTCTTCTCTGTTAATCGTACTTTTTTTTTCTTTTTATCCATTTTAGTTACCATTATTTTCTTCTGCTTTTTTTCCTTTTCCTTTCATTAATGGCTTCTTTCTTTTCAGCCTTGATTCTCTGAAGCATCCCGGTGCACCAGAAAAGAGCGTTCAGGAGAATTGAAATTCTTAATCTTAGACATTGACATGGAAGTTCAGCTAAAATGCTGCTGGACAAAAGGTTTTGTTTTCTTTTTTGTTAGGTCTGCTACTGTAATCAACCAGAATGGTGCTCTGGCCTACATATACAAATTTGGAGAGAAATTAATTTTTCCTGACCAAGTACTGAAGAATTATCTTAACACTCAATCAAACGAGCAATCCGAAAGATATATCATTCTGTTCTATTAATCGAATTTTGCTTGTGCTTTACTCAATTTTGTGCAACATTGTGTTGTGTTTATTCTTGGTTTCTTTTTGCAGTGCTCAATTCTACATCCTGTTTTTCCTCACTTCAAGCAACACAGAACACAGTAAATTTCGAAATCCAAGTTTCTCTATTTTGTTGTTTTACTTAATTAGGATTGTAATGCAGTATTTTATGCATTAGGTTGAACGCACGAACGGACCACAGTTTTACGAGTTCAACTAATCTAACCAAACTGATTAAAGGAAATTATCTTTTCCACCACAATTTAAATATTTTATTAATTTTATTTCAAAACTACCCGGTGAATAACATAATGTTTGAATCTTCAAAACGCATTTTCAATATCTTCCAAGATTTCAATTCACAATGTGATTTACAAAAACATTTTGAAATTAAATTTCTTAACACATTTTCTAGAACATATTCAAAACGTTTTTTCTATAAATATAGAATTTAATTCTGGACAAAGAAAGTTAACGACCATTTGAAAATTTAATTTTGAACTACATTTTAAACACTCTTTGAAAATTTACTCCTAGAAAATAATTCACATATTAAAAGTTTTTTTTTTTATTTATGTTTGAATCAAATAATATATTTCATAATAAGTTCATGCTAGATTGATATAAGTTGACATCTCAAAATACATTTATTATTTTTCCTCACATGAAAAATTAATTAAAAGAAAAATTAAACATAAAATAAATTGTATATTTCTTATATGATAGTATTCTTGACTTTGGTGTTATATAGAGGTCATACTTAGAGTTAATTTTAAGCGTTTAATGACTAAACATTATTTATGTTATTGTAAAAGTCAACAAATTATGTGGTTGGAATTTCAATAACTTTATTTTGAAGTTTACCTGTACATCTAAACGAAATAAGAGTGTTTAACTACAATAGAGGCTAAGGAATGTTTGACAGTCTAACATAAGCGCTAAACACTATAAAGGATTTATAACAGAGCATATAATATGAATAAAGTCTAACGAAAGACTAGACAAAGCTAAATGCTATAATTTGAAATGTCCTAAACAACTATATGTTACTAAAAAAACTGCATAAATGATAGTACTCTAATCATGCCTTTGTTTATTAAATGTTGATAATACTCTAATCATATATGAACATTTAAGATCGTCTAACACTTTAAAGCATGTACTTTCTAGTACTTCTTTGTTTATTGTGTTGTGCTTTCTTTTTCTATGCAAATTTTCACCTTTATAAAAAAATTTGCTCATAATTAGAACAATGTTAAGAGATAGGAAGATATTCAATGAATGTTTCATACATGCTTTCTGTATGCTCTTTATGTATACACAACAGAGTTGTTATCAAGATGCAACATGACTTTTAACTTTACCTTAAAGACTACACCTATAGAAAAAAGTCAAAAGCTCTGAGTAACGAATCTTTTTCAAAAGGATTGCATGAACAGAAGAAAACAACTTTGTTACCAAGATTATTGATATACACTCATGTTGCTTCTCTATATGCTCTTTCTTTTAAAGATTTGTCTTTGAAAAGTTTTTTTACAAGTTTTTAGAATATCTTGTATTGATTTTTGAAATCCTTTCAAAGAGAGTTAAACATTTTGTTCTTGTAATCTTTCAAAACACTTTGTGTTTGTTTTCAGAAGTGAAGAAAAACACTTGTTAGTGTAACTCAGCGGAGTTAAACGATCTAGTCAGACAGACTAGTGGATATTAGGAGTAGTTATAATTGTCGACCTATGATAACTAATATCTATGGCACACCGGCTACTTTGTAGTTGTTATTAAGATATGATCAAACATTCTTAGTATACTAAGATAAATGAGTCATTGGGTCCAAGCCTAAGCCTATCTAGGTAAGGACCCACAAACCTCGCAAATAATATTATAAATATCGCAGTCATTGCGGTATTATATTTTTATTCTCATTAATTACACATTTATTATTGCTTAAGATATTGACGTCGGAGTATTTCCTGCAGGCACAATCATCATCTATCTTACAAAAATAAGTACTATAAGAAGAAAGATAAGTACTTTGAAGATTGAAGGTTAGAGACATTTATGAAGTTTTTATAAAGTATATATCGACTTAGTAAGAACACATTCAATAAAATAACTTAACATGCATAACAATGATGTGATGAATTGAATTTAACATAAATGGTATGTATGAATAATATAAAAGAAATGTTGTAAAATTAATTTAATAAATCAATTCAATCTACAATAATTGACATGTTTTCAAATGGTGAGATAAAGAAAGCGGAATCTAGGTTGAACTAGATAAATTAGGTATCTAGATTGCTATTGCTCTTTCAAGCAGCATCTTCTTGCTTTTATCATACAATTAATCTATTGTTTCAACTTTGAATTTTGTTAATCAGCATAGTAGTAAGCATTTTGTTTCCACAATTCAGACGTTTAAAATATTCTACCTTAAAGATTTATATGGAAGAAACATAAATATGGCTGAGTTAGGTAACGAATTTTCGTTCGCCAATAAGCTTTTTATTCTTAGGGTTAAGTGTTATTAAGTATACACAACAAAAAGTGACAACATAGAAAACTATGGTGGAATTTTCACCGCATAAAAATGGTGGAATTTGTGGTGCTAAAAGTCTAAAAGATTAAAGATAGGAATACCGAATACGTATCTCAATTTTTTTGCACTTTTTTCTATTTGGCTTGTGGATTTCTCGAAGCCAAGATGGATAAAGCAAACTAATTGTACGAATAATATAAATGAGAATCACTTGCAACACTCAAACAAACAATAATTGGGAATCACTTTCAATGACACTTAGTCAAGTGATTGAAATNATTGGAAGATTTTAATATTATTGTGGTTTTTGTTTGTGTAATTTATTAATGGAAGTTGCATTTTTTTTTCTGAAATAATTCTTTTGCAGATAAGCAATGAGTATTCACTTGAAAATATTCTGAATGAGGCTGCTATGAAAGACAAAACTGTTATCTTGACCACATTAAATGAAGCCTGGGCAGCACCAGATTCAATCATTGATCTATTCCTTGAGAGCTTTAGAATTGGAGATCGTACTCGCTGGCTTTTGAATCATTTAGTAATTGTTGCATTAGACCCGAAAGCTTTTATGCGTTGTCAGGCAATACACTCCTATTGCTATTTGCTTGCTAGTGAAGCCGTTGATTTTCATGAAGAGGCATTTTTCATGACTCCTCGTTACTTGAAGATGATGTGGAGACGGATTGATTTCCTGCGATCCGTTCTAGAGTTGGGGTACAATTTTGTGTTCACGGTTAGTATTTAATCACTAACTTTCTCATGTTTACTTGGACTGACTTGATTAATCCTTGAGATCATGGAAATACTTTCACGAGTTCTGAAGTTTGCAAATCATTTAAATTTGCCTTATTTTACATCCCGCTGGTTAGGATAATCTGTAGCAGCAAACTGTATCATTCCAGCTATGTATTTTTTTTCTTTATTTTGGTTTTACTGATTTCCTTTCAGAGGAGACTTTTTTTTGGAGAGAGATGTAAATATAAGATATCTAACTTTGATACTTATGTCTTCTACCAGGATGCTGACATCATGTGGTTTAGAGATCCGTTTCCTCGGTTTCATACGGATGCAGATTTCCAGATAGCCTGTGATCATTTCACAGGCAGATTTGATGATGTAGAGAACAGACCCAATGGAGGGTTCAACTTTGTACAGTCCAATAATAGGTCAATTGAGTTTTACAAGTTCTGGCATTCTTCACAAGAAACCTACCCCGGTTACCATGATCAGGATGTTCTCAATTTTATCAAGGTTGACCCTTTCATTACTGATTTAGGACTGAAGATGAAATTCTTGGATACAGCTAATTTCGGTGGGCTTTGTGAGCCAAGTAAAGATTTAAATAAGGTTTGCACGATGCATGCAAATTGTTGCTATGGTATGGATAGTAAACTTCATGATCTTAGAGTCATGCTTCAAGATTGGAAATATTATTTGACCTTAGCTCCAAGTTTGAAGAGGTTGTCAATTATTTCCTGGAGGGTACCTCAGAAATGCAGGTTGACCACACACTCAAGCTTTCCCATTCAATATTTTGATTTTCTTCTCTGTTAATCGTACTTTTTTTTCTTTTTATCCATTTTAGTTACCATTATTTTCTTCTGCTTTTTTTCCTTTTCCTTTCATTAATGGCTTCTTTCTTTTCAGCCTTGATTCTCTGAAGCATCCCGGTGCACCAGAAAAGAGCGTTCAGGAGAATTGAAATTCTTAATCTTAGACATTGACATGGAAGTTCAGCTAAAATGCTGCTGGACAAAAGGTTTTGTTTTCTTTTTTGTTAGGTCTGCTACTGTAATCAACCAGAATGGTGCTCTGGCCTACATATACAAATTTGGAGAGAAATTAATTTTTCCTGACCAAGTACTGAAGAATTATCTTAACACTCAATCAAACGAGCAATCCGAAAGATATATCATTCTGTTCTATTAATCGAATTTTGATTGTGCTTTACTCAATTTTGTGCAACATTGTGTTGTGTTTATTCTTGGTTTCTTTTTGCAGTGCTCAATTCTACATCCTGTTTTTCCTCACTTCAAGCAACACAGAACACAGTAAATTTCGAAATCCAAGTTTCTCTATTTTGTTGTTTTACTTAATTAGGATTGTAATGCAGTATTTTATGCATTAGGTTGAACGCACGAACGGACCACAGTTTTACGAGTTCAACTAATCTAACCAAACTGATTAAAGGAAATTATCTTTTCCACCACAATTTAAATATTTTATTAATTTTATTTCAAAACTACCCGGTGAATAACATAATGTTTGAATCTTCAAAACGCATTTTCAATATCTTCCAAGATTTCAATTCACAATGTGATTTACAAAAACATTTTGAAATTAAATTTCTTAACACATTTTCTAGAACATATTCAAAACGTTTTTTCTATAAATATAGAATTTAATTCTGGACAAAAAAAGTTAACGACCATTTGAAAATTTAATTTTGAACTACATTTTAAACACTCTTTGAAAATTTACTCCTAGAAAATAATTCACATATTAAAAGTTTTTTTTTTTATTTATGTTTGAATCAAATAATATATTTCATAATAAGTTCATGCTAGATTGATATAAGTTGACATCTCAAAATACATTTATTATTTTTCCTCACATGAAAAATTAATTAAAAGAAAAATTAAACATAATAAAATAAATTATATATTTCTTATATGATAGTATTCTTGACTTTTGTGTTATATAGAGGTCATACTTAGAGTTAATTTTAAGCGTTTAATGACTAAACATTATTTATGTTATTGTAAAAGTCAACAAATTATGTGGTTGGAATTTCAATAACTTTATTTTGAAGTTTACCTGTACATCTAAACGAAATAAGAGTGTTTAACTACAATAGAGGCTAAGGAATGTTTGACAGTCTAACATAAGCGCTAAACACTATAAAGGATTTATAACAGAGCATATAATATGAATAAAGTCTAACGAAAGACTAGACAAAGCTAAATGCTATAATTTGAAATGTCCTAAACAACTATATGTTACTAAAAAAACTGCATAAATGATAGTACTCTAATCATGCCTTTGTTTATTAAATGTTGATAATACTCTAATCATATATGAACATTTAAGATCGTCTAACACTTTAAAGCATGTACTTTCTAGTACTTCTTTGTTTATTGTGTTGTGCTTTCTTTTTCTATGCAAATTTTCACCTTTATAAAAAAATTTGCTCATAATTAGAACAATGTTAAGAGATAGGAAGATATTCAATGAATGTTTCATACATGCTTTCTGTATGCTCTTTATGTATACACAACAGAGTTGTTATCAAGATGCAACATGACTTTTAACTTTACCTTAAAGACTACACCTATAGAAAAAAGTCAAAAGCTCTGAGTAACGAATCTTTTTCAAAAGGATTGCATGAAAAGAAGAAAACAACTTTGTTACCAAGATTATTGATATACACTCATGTTGCTTCTCTATATGCTCTTTCTTTTAAAGATTTGTCTTTGAAAAGTTTTTTTACAAGTTTTTAGAATATCTTGTATTGATTTTTGAAATCCTTTCAAAGAGAGTTAAACATTTTGTTCTTGTAATCTTTCAAAACACTTTGTGTTTGTTTTCAAAAGTGAAGTAAAACACTTGTTAGTGTAACTCAGCAGAGTTAAACGATCTAGTCAGATAGACTAGTGGATACTAGGAGTAGTTATATTTGTCGGCCTATGATAACTAATATCTATGGCACACCGGCTACTTTGTAGTTGTTATTAGGATATGATCAAACATTCTTAGTCTACTAAGATAAATGAGTCATTGGGTCCAAGCCCAAGCCTATCTAGGTAAGACCCACAAACCTCGCAAATAATATTATAAATAGCGCAGTCATTGCGGTATTATATTTTTATTCTCATTAATTACACATTTATTATTGCTTAAGATATTGACGTCGGAGTATTTCCTGCAGGCACAATCATCATCTATCTTACAAAAATAAGTACTACAAGAAGAAAGATAAATACTTTGAAGATTGAAGGTTAGAGACATTTATGAAGTTTTTATAAAGTATATATCGACTTAGTAAGAACACATCTAATAAAATAACTTAACATGCATAACAATGATGTGATGAATTGAATTTAACATAAATAGTATGTATGAATAATATAAAAGAAATGTTGTAAAATTAATTTAATAAATCAATTCAATCTACAATAATTGACATGTTTTCAAATGGTGAGATAAAGAAAGCGGAATCTAGGTTGAACTAGATAAATTAGGTATCTAGATTGCTATTGCTCTTTCAAGCAGCATCTTCTTGCTTTTATCATACAATTAATCTATTGTTTCAACTTTGAATTTTGTTAATCAGCATAGTAGTAAGCATTTTGTTTCCACAATTCAGACGTTTAAAATATTCTACCTTAAAGATTTATATGGAAGAAACATAAATATGGCTGAGTTAGGTAACGAATTTTCGTTCGCCAATAAGCTTTTTATTCTTAGGGTTAAGTGTTATTAAGTATACACAACAAAAAGTGACAACATAGAAAACTATGGTGGAATTTTCACCGCATAAAAATGGTGGAATTTGTGGTGCTAAAAGTCTAAAAGATTAAAGATAGGAATACCGAATACGTATCTCAATTTTTTTGCACTTTTTTCTATTTGGCTTGTGGATTTCTCGAAGCCAAGATGGATAAAGCAAACTAATTGTACGAATAATATAAATGAGAATCACTTGCAACACTCAAACAAACAATAATTGGGAATCACTTTCAATGACACTTAGTCAAGTGATTGAAATTGGCATCTAATAATTCTTCAAATATATAATATATATATATATATATATATATATATATATATATATATGTGTGTGTGTGTGTGGAATACAACTCACAAAATCATCTATATTGAACCGTATAATGAATGCAAATCAATCAAGTGCTTAATTAGATTTTTCAGAAATATACTTTAAATTTTAAATAATTTCATAAAAGTACTAAAACAAAGTTTATATTTATTTTTATATACTGTAATTTGGATATACATAGAATCTATAAAATAAACTTTTTTATGTGAAGATTAGAACGTTTACGTTAAGAATATCAAACGAAAAATAAAAGAGGTTCGATAAGTAACACGATAGATTCAAACTAATTATATTACAATAGGTTTTATATAATTCTAATATTTATATAAAATTTACATATAATTCAATCTTATACAACAAATTTATAAGATAAGAGTTATATTCATCTATATTTATATTTTGTTCTTTTATCTAATTAAGTTGGAATCTTCAAATATCATAAAAAGAAAATACAGTTTACCAAAATACCTAATGTATCTTGAAATCAAACGACAAGTTCAATTGCTTCAAAGAAAATCTTGACTTTGGTGGCATGGTATCAAATTTTTTCTTCTCATTTCAACAACTTCGTAGAAATCTCAATTTATTGGCCCCCACTTCGAACCAAAGCCATATGTTAATGCTGGCTTTCCAAGAAACATATATATNCACGAAATGCTCTCTCAATTAAATGGATTCAGTGGTGGCTCGATGGATTCTCGTAGGCGTGGAAGGCCGCTGATGAGTAACTACTTTGAAATTGAAAGTGTGGTGCCGGGGATTTCAGGTTCCTTGAGCCAAAATCCAACTATTGATGCTGCTTCACTTTATGCACAGAAATATGGAATTAACTTATTGGAAGAAAGGAGTGTGTCAAGACCGCCCAACAATTCCGTTTGTCCTAACGTTAAGCCTTGTATGAGTGTTCATGAGTTGTTACAGTATGGCCTTTCTCAGCCTAATGCAAGAGTTGTGCCACTTTTGAAATCTAGAATTCCCCGAGGAAATCTTGATGCTATTAGAAGTGAGGGGAGTTTCATTATACAGGGGGAAGGTTTAAATTATGTTGCTAGTAGGGTTTCGGATCATTCAAGGTGTCAGCGTGCTGTGCTCGAAAGTGGTTTTGCTAAGCAGCTACACCCGTCAGAGCTAGACATCCGACACCAGATTGTAGGATATGAAAATCCTAGGAGTCCCAGGAATGGGTGCACACTCCCTGTGCTACCTAAGTATAACTCCCTTGCAGAAGCTCGAGGGTCATTATATTTAATAGCCAAAGATCAACATGGCTGTAGATTCCTTCAAAGAGTGTTTGATGAGGGTACACCGGAAGATGTTCAAATGATATTTAGTGAGATAATTGATCATGTAGTGGAACTTATGATGAATCCTTTTGGAAATTACCTTATGCAAAAGTTGTTGGATCAATGTGATGAAGAACAGAGGATGCAGATCATACTTGCGGTTACACAGGAGACAGGGCAGCTTGTCAGAATCTCTTTAAACACTCACGGGTACTTATGCAACTTATGATAGCATTGAAATGATATATTGACTATCTGATACTGAATTTGACTTTACCTTTTATCTTTTTCCAGCACTCGTGTGGTGCAGAAGCTGATTGAGACTCTCAAAACTAGGCAGCAAATTTCATTAGTTGTATCGGCTTTGCAACCAGGATTCTTGGTCCTCATCAAAGATCTTAATGGAAATCATGTGGTTCAACACTGTTTACAATGCCTAAGCAATGAAGATAACAAAGTATGACTTTTATTTTTTTCTTTAATTGTCTATTGAGTTGGATTTGGATTTATCCTACATTTGATAGTTATGGGTTAACAGAAACTGATATGCGTAAATCACTTGTTACCATGTTTTCTTTGAGCTTTTGGATCAATCCATGATAACTGTACATCTTGTGTGAAAAAGCACTTTGGTTGTCTGCCAATTTCATTTCGTTCTCAAAAGTTTATATAGCTTATTCCCGGACTTGCAATAGTGTATAATGATGTTCTATTAATTGAAATTTCAATTTTATTGCATCCTTATGCTTAAATTTGTATGCATGATAAATAAAATTTGAGCAGGCTTTTTTCTTTTTGTTATATTAGTGAACTTCTTAGTCCTTTTTGAAAGGAGAGGGATCCCAGGAAGCATTATGGTTGCGTGCTGTTCTGCATGATAGATAAATGGAACAACCTGGCCAAATTGTTCAAACTATCTTGTGTTAACCTGATCAGGAACTTGTTTTTATTATTCCTACGTATGTAAGTTATTTAGTGAAAAATTGTGTTCTCATCTTTCTGATATGGTCCGCTATGTAGAATGATTATGTTTTTAACAGGACTATGACTTTACAAGCTACTAGTAATACCAAGTTCATTATCTCAGATGGCTAGTTTTGATACTTGATATTAAGAATATACATCATGGTATCAAAGCATTTGAAACTATTTTTTATGATCATGTACTTGACACTCTCCTCTTGCACACAAAAGAGACTAAGACAATTTTAAATAATTCATTGTACATTACCATGCCTGTTTGTATTTTTCTTTTCTTTTCAGAAATACAAATGCAGTGACGTAATTGCTCTTTCCGTGCTTTTGCTCTTCATTGTTTTTTAACATACTGTTCTATTTTTCGAGATAGAAATTTTAATCGCTCTTAACGCTGGAAATCCAATGTAGCAGTAGGTTATAGAATCTTGTTAGAATTTAGGTTTATATTTACATACCTGAGACTATCAAGAGCTTATTTAAAATAATGGTTGCATGAAAATGCTAATAAATACTAACGGTTTACCATCTGAAACATAGTTCGATATGGGCTAAAAAAAACTTCAAGATTTAATCCAAATGCACTCGTCTGTTGGTCTATACAGTGGAAAACGGCTTATGAACTGTGGTGGATGTTGATTATGCCGTGGAGCATATTGTAAGTGTAAGGCTACGTATATTTGTGCAATGAAAATGTTGCGCCAACTAAGTAACAAATATCTGCTAATTGATTCAGGCAGATCACACTGTCACAAATGTAATTTCTTCAACATATGGATGTACGATGAAATTGCTGAAAATGTATGCAAATATAAATATTTTGTTGCGGAAGAGTTACAGTTTCCATTCTTTGCATTGGTCAGTTCATATTTGTTGCTGCTGCCAAGTATTGTGTTGACATTGCCACTCATCAACATGGGTGTTGTGTTCTACAAAGATGCATCGGTCATTCTCGTGGGGAGCTTAGAGAACATCTGGTTGCAGAAATATCTACTAATGCACTTCTGCTGGCTCAAAATCAATATGGGTAATTATTTGAAGCGTATTACTTAAAGTATTAAGCATATTAAATCTTGCATTGCATGGATATTTTTTCCATTAAGCCTGTCTACCTCCTTGCCTACAGACATTTTTTTTCCTGGGACAAAGAGTCTTAGCTGTAGCAAATTGTCTCTAGTGATTGGTAAATAAATTCTTAGCCTATGGACAGACTTTGTGGAAAGGTGGGTAGTCATGGAACATTATTTTGTTTACACCTTTTGCACATGAACATTCCATGTCTATATTGGAGATGGTGCAACTATGGAAGAGAGAATGTCAAATAATTTGACCAAGGGGGTAATTTTTTTTTTAACAAATATTATATTTAGAATTGAAATAGAAATCCAGCTATGATAATGTTTTTTTCTTTTTTAATTAAGCCATTTGTGAGACTCCTTAAACCAGATGGCACACTACAATCCAGGGTGTTTTTCTCTGTTTGTTCCTGTACGTTTTCTTTTCCGTGTTTTTCTGTGCTTGGGTCGGGCAATTAACGAATACATTTTTAACGGAGGGTTTATCTACAGGCAGGTATTTGGTCATATTTAGAAATAATATGGCATTTTGAAACAGATAAATTTTTGTTTACCTCATGATTCTCCGGTGTATGATCTATTCATTCTTTTTGTCTTCCTCAGAAACTATGTTGTTCAATTTATCCTGGACTTGAGGATTCCTTCAGCGACTACAACTTTAAGTTTGCTATTTGAAGGTAAATATGTGCACCTGTCAATGCAGAAGTTCAGCAGCCATGTCGTTGAGAAATGTCTTGCTGTATTCAATGATGAGAACCGATCAAGAGTCATTCATGAACTACTCTGTGCTCCTCACTTCGAACGGTTGCTTCAAGATCCACATGCAAATTATGTTGTTCAATCAGCTTTGCGACATTCTGAGGTTTGTAACATGACTGCTTTATATTCCATTCTCTTCTATTGCTGCGTCCTATATCCTTAAGTGCATGAAATTTCCACAGTCGTGTCTTAAGCTTTTTGGGGTTTTGTCAACGAACATTTGTATTCCTTTTTCATATATTTGCTCGGTATTTCTTTTCTCACATTTTCCCTTTACTTCTAAACTAGGGCCATATGCATAATTCAATAGTTGAAGCAATTGAGACCCACAAAGCAGTTTCACGGAATAGCCCATATTCCAAGAAGATTTTCTCGCAGAAGCTTTTGAAGAAATGATTCATATTTCTCCCCTTAGTAAGCACTGTTGTTGTTCTACTATAAAAATCATTTTGGAGTTTGCCACCGAACAAATGCATTTCATGGTTATTTAACTGTAAGTCGGGATGCTAATAACCATACAAAGGAGTCAGTCTGTTTAGAAAAACTTATCCTTCTGCTCAGATAATATGTGAAAAAATGGAGAAAAAGAACAGACAATTTTGCTCCCGTCTAAATTTTAGACTTTTGAATGTACAATGTTGTCTTGTGTCTGTACTTTTTGGATATTATTATCATCCTGTTAATTATGGTATTCTCACTGGCTGATAATGTACAGTGTATATATAGTATTAGGATGTTCGTTGTTACTGTAAAATACTATGAAGAATCTCTCAGAATAACTTCCCTTGTCTTGTGGGCAAGGGAATGAACTATGGCTGTGGTCTAGTTGTATTTACAATTATTATATTATTATATTATAAATTCCCTGTTCTTAATTTTAGAACCTCATTTGCTGTTAGAGAGCCGATATTTTTATATTAGAAAAAGTAGAAATCATCTACTTAAAAGTTCAATAAATTAATATTTTAGTTGTATATATATATATATATATATATATATATATATATATATATATATATATATATATATATATGACAATCTTAAAATCTTGGAATCATTTATTCAATGAATATGATAATTTGGATAATTTCTTGTCATAAAAATTGACATATATGACACTAGCAGGTAATAAAGACATCCCAAAACAATTGGATGCGTGACAATGCAATTACATATATTTAAAAACTACAAAATGCTTTTCCATGAGCATTTAGTTAATACATGAATTAGAAATAAGATTTCTTTGGAGAAACTAACAAAAATAAATTATAAACACTGATTTATAGATTGTGGAGAAAAATACTTTTTATTACAAATATTTATTAACATTTTTTTTCTAGACAAACTTCACAAATTGATGGTTAAAAATACCATTTGGAGTGAAATCAATTGTTATATATTATATCTCGATGGAAAAATATAATAAGAGAAAGTTTAAAAAGTGAAATATTAATTAGAAGTGTAGGTTCACCTTAATTCAGTTTTTCAAAATCAACACAATTAATGTTTGAGTAGATAAATGAAGATGATAAACTTAATAGATCTCAATCATATCATGAAATCAACTTTAAGTTTAGATTAATTAAATTTTAAATATTCATGAATTTTGATATTTTAATTTATCTTTCATTAAATTCTTTTATATAATTAAGTATTTAAAACTTTAAAATTTTTGTATTAAATTAGTATTATTGCATGGTGAACGTGTTACAGGAAAAAGTGGAATGGGAGGGAAAGTGAAGTGCGACGTGTGTGGGAAACCGACGAAGGGGTTCGCCTTCCTCTGCACCGCCTGCGCCTTCCAGATGCATCCATGCTGCGCCATGCTCAACACCGAGATCGACTTCCCTTCCCATCCCCACACTCTCAAGATCCTCCCCACCGCCTCCTCCGCCGCCGTCGACCCCTCCTCCTTCGTCTGCGCCGAGTGCAAGAAGCGAAGGTCCGGCAAGGTATACCGCTGCACCGTCTGCGACTACCACCTCCACGCCGCCTGCGCCAAGACCAAGATCAACGGCCTCCTCGCCAACGGCATCAGGCCGCCGCAGAAGCCCAGCGTGCTCGCCGCCGCCGCCCGCGTTGCCTCCCAGGTGGTGATTGAGTTCATCGGAGGACTGGTTGAGGGCATCGGAGAAAGCGTCGGCGATGTGCTTGTCCAGAACATTGCCAAAGGAAACACTGTTTCCCCCGCTAATGCTAGCCCCAAACCACGTTACAGATAATCCATTACTGCCCCAACAAAAAAAGTTAGTATCATTCCTCTTCTACTACATTTTTCATTTTTTAATTTTCTTCTTCTCTCTTTTACTTATTTTTCTCTACAAACTTTTAATTTAATTTAAGAAAAACCCTTTTGTAATATTGTATCTGAATGTTTTTTTTCTATTTAATTGATTTTTTTAAGATAAGTATAAGTAAACCACCTTTTCTTCTACTAATTTCATAGTTTTTTTTTTGTTTATGTATTTTCTTATTATTATGATATGTAGTGAATGACGAATAGAAGGGAAATATATGATATAAGCATTTGAAACTGAGTACAATATATGATATATAAATATTTGAAATAGGAATGAATTAATTTTCTCTTATCCAATTTATGACAAAAATATATAGTACTAACTCTTTAAAAAGTGCGTGACATATCAGGTGAAATTTTCTTTAACACTATGTAAATGAACCACAGAGTAGCATGATACATATAGAAATTCATTTCACATATTTAATAAGGATAAAATAGTTTTAAAAAAGTGAATTTTTATAATTTTTTAAAAAGAAAAAAGTAAAATTTATGAATATAAAAAAATTATATGTTTCAAAATATAATTTTTGTTTGTAAATAAGAGAAAGTGAGTCAAATTTAGTGTTCTGACCTTTCTCTTGTATACTGTTTCAGGGATGAATCTATTTCAAGTTTCCTCTGACACGTTTGGGAAAAGATAAAAGCACACAAGAAAATATTTATGCTACAATATTTGTTTTTCTAGAATGTGTCTCCCTCTGAAATGCAAAAGTGGAAAAAAGATAACCTATTCCTAATTTTCTAGATACATTCAATGTAGGCTATTTTTTTCATATAGGAAAAAAAAAATAATTGTATAGTATTGATTGATGCAAATAGTGTCGATTCTGTGTATATTTTGTTGGTTTGTGGAGGGGAATTCTAAAAGGTGGGTAGGCTAGTGTTTCAGTAAATTCAAGTGATTGTTATATGTATGTAAGTTGTAAGATTTCATATATAAATATTGCATGATTTGTCATTTTTATTATATATTTATTTATTCAATAACTTTATTAACACTTTTTTTTCATGGAGGAAAAATCATTATAAGAGATAGTTGTGCCTTTACACAAATGATGCTTCACCCAATTAATTAATAGGTTTTCTAAATCCTATCAGGAAAAAACTTTAATTAATGAATACATGAAAACAGAAGTGATGAGCACTTATGATAAATCATATATTATCTGTCCAAGATATTATACTTTCTTTGCAATGTTATAGAATGTTATCTCCACACGAAAGCAAGCATAAATTCTTTGGAAAATAGAACAATATGAATACATTTGAAGAATACATGCTCGGTTTGTCTCCTTTTCTTTCTTGAAAAGAACCAAATGTCTATGGTCCATTCAGTGGTAGGATTCCCCTTTAAGACAAATTGACCTTTCATGGAACTCTCTCTTCAAATACCTTCCATGCAAGTCTTGTCACTTTCATTGCACTCAGTTGCATATCACCAACATTTCTACTTCTAAATGCTTAATTAAAATCCCAAAAAATAGTATTTTAGAAATAAAATAGTTTTATATCCTTTTGAAAATTTTAAAAAATAAACTAAGTCTTTTATCATGTATTATTAAGAGACTCTAATATCATCATTAAGTGAGATTAATCTCATCAAATTCGTTTAATAAGGGAAATTTACCCCTTTTATATATTATAATTTAAATTTATTTATAATAGATGTGAAAATTTGCTTGCTTTAACTTGCACTAGTTTGAATGTAATAATTCTGCATAATGCACAGAAGACAACAACGTGAACTGTAATTCCCCCATATATACAAATAGAATGTTATCTAAAAGATAAAACTATTCTAAGAGATAAACTAATCTTGTCTAAAAGACAGAATTGATCTTACTCAAAGAGATTAAAGATATATATAATCACTATCTAAGCGCTGCTTGACTAAGTCAGTTACCAGTAGTCACCACAGGAGCAAATGCCATGCTGAAAATGATGGAACCGGTTTATATCTCTGATAACAATTTCTCGCTTCACAATTTTTGATATCAACTTTATAGCAGCGTGACAATCTACACAAATCCGAAGATTTTTAATGATACGAATAGAAGATGCAGGTGGAATATGTATCAGTCCAAAAGCCAGTGCCAGTCTTTCACTGTGCGCCCACAAGAGACGTTCCTTTTCATCATCCTCCACATTAAGCAGAACAACACTACAATCAGGAACATACCCTGCCTCCCTGCTTTTCTTGTTTAACCATTCAAGCATTGCATATATTAGTTTAATTTCGGGATGAGAGGTGTCTCCGACAGTGAAATAATGAACTACACCTTGGTTCTCAACCCAGCTTAATCCTGGTTCCTTTTTTAATTTTATCCTTTTCATGTTTTTTCTAACAGAAGCAACTCTGTCCCATCTCCTTTCAGTGGCATACATGTTTGACAGAAGTACATGAGTTGCATCATCATGGGGCTCCATCTCAAGTACGTGCTTTGCACAAACCTTACCTAGATCAAGATTCTTATGGATAACACAAGCACCAAGCAGTGCACGCCACACCATAACACTGGGCTGAAATGGAATTTCTCCAATGAGGTTCTTTGCTTCATCAAATTGGCCTAATCTTCCAAGAAGCCAAACCATGCAAGTATAATGTTCTATGCATGGTTCAATGCCATAATCCTGTAACATTGACCTAAAATGAGTTCGTCCTTTGTCTAACAACCCTGCATTGCTACATGCAGAAAGGACACCAACAAAAGTGAGTTTATTTGGTTTACAATTGGTTTTTTGCATCATATCAAATAAGTTTAGAGCCTCCGTACTCAAGCCATGCATAGAATAACCACAGATTATAGCATTCCACGAAACTTCATTTCGTTTATTCATCTTATCAAATGTTAGCCTGGCATCATCAATTCTACCACATTTAGCATACATGTCTATCAAAGAATTTGCAACCACACTATCCTTGTTATACATGGTTTTGATGGTTAAGGAATGAATTTGACGCCCTGGCTCTAATGAAACTAAACTGGAAGAGGCACGCAGAACACTTGAGTATGTCACTTCTGTTGGCTGTATATCATATCCAAGCATGTTTGAAAATAAATTTAAAGCTTTCTCCCCATCCCCTAACTGAACATAACCAACAATTATAGTATTCCAAGTTACCTCGTTTTTCTCTTCCGACCTAATGAATAATTTGACAGAGTTTTCAATTTCACCACACTTGGCGTAAACATCCATGAGGGCATTTGACACAAACACATTTGAGTCAAGACCCACTTTCAGTACAGAAGAATGAATTTGTTTTCCCAAATTCAACGAAACCAGAGACGCACAAGCTTGCAGCACACTAGCAAAAGTAAAATTATTAGGGACAACAGATGATTGCCTCATTCGACAAAACAACTCCAAAGCCTCCCTACTATTTTCACTTTGAGCATATCGCGCTATCATGAGACTCCATGGAATAAGATCATCTTTGGGCATTTCCTCGAAAAGCCGCTGTGCCTCAGCAATCTCTCCAGACTTGGCATACAGCTCTAGCAACGCAGTACCAACATAAAGATCCCTATCATAACACGCTTTCAAAGCACATCCATGAACACTTTTCCCAACCTTAAATGCTTCTAGACCAAGACAGGACTTCAGCGCAGCAGAAATCGTAAAATTATTTGGTGCGTACCCCATAGTCCTCATCTTGCAGAAAAGTAGCAATGCATCCTCATGGAAATAATTCTCAGCATAGCAAGCTACCATTCCAGTCCAAGACACCATGTCCTTACAACAAATGCCATCAAAAACTGCACGTGCAGCACCAACATTTCCACAGACAGCATAGGCACTAAGTAGTGCAGTCCCAACGTACGCATCAGAGTGATGACCAAGCTTATAAACATATGCATGCACACTCCAAGATGTATCAGCCAGCTCCATTCTCACCAGCAACTTGAGAAGTGTCGTGAAAACAAACTGGTTCACCTCGTATCCTTCTCTGAACAACCTGTGTTCATCAATTGGATTGAATCATCTTCGAAAAGAAAAACCTTCACATTCAATTTAATCCATAAAGCCACTTGGATTGCAAATATCAGGGTCTTTTGGGTGAATTAGGGAATCCCTCGGTGCGGACCAAGGACTAATCCTTGAGATATTAAGACTCATTTACGGGGTTAACCTCTCCCAACAAATGTTTTTTCTATACACACATACCAGAGATCAAACCAGACCAACCATGCCACTCAAAGCATCTCATCGTCTATAAGTCATTACATGTCCAATAGTAGTATAAACCCTTACAAATATACTATTAAAATAAACTTATGCAGTTTGATAATAATATTCATAGTCACACTCAAACAATTACCAAAAACTATCTATAATTAAATATAATTTCATAAAAAATATAAATTGCGACGAAAATTTAAAAATGAAAACATGAATTATATAAACTCAGGAGTGATTCTGTGAGTCATCAACAAATCAATGATAATTCACACAAATAACATGCATTAAAAAAATTTTANAAATTTTCTTTAACACTATGTAAATGAACCACAGAGTAGCATGATACATATAGAAATTCATTTCACATATTTAATAAGGATAAAATAGTTTTAAAAAAGTGAATTTTTATAATTTTTTAAAAAGAAAAAAGTAAAATTTATGAATATAAAAAAATTATATGTTTCAAAATATAATTTTTGTTTGTAAATAAGAGAAAGTGAGTCAAATTTAGTGTTCTGACCTTTCTCTTGTATACTGTTTCAGGGATGAATCTATTTCAAGTTTCCTCTGACACGTTTGGGAAAAGATAAAAGCACACAAGAAAATATTTATGCTACAATATTTGTTTTTCTAGAATGTGTCTCCCTCTGAAATGCAAAAGTGGAAAAAAGATAACCTATTCCTAATTTTCTAGATACATTCAATGTAGGCTATTTTTTTCATATAGGAAAAAAAAAATAATTGTATAGTATTGATTGATGCAAATAGTGTCGATTCTGTGTATATTTTGTTGGTTTGTGGAGGGGAATTCTAAAAGGTGGGTAGGCTAGTGTTTCAGTAAATTCAAGTGATTGTTATATGTATGTAAGTTGTAAGATTTCATATATAAATATTGCATGATTTGTCATTTTTATTATATATTTATTTATTCAATAACTTTATTAACACTTTTTTTTCATGGAGGAAAAATCATTATAAGAGATAGTTGTGCCTTTACACAAATGATGCTTCACCCAATTAATTAATAGGTTTTCTAAATCCTATCAGGAAAAAACTTTAATTAATGAATACATGAAAACAGAAGTGATGAGCACTTATGATAAATCATATATTATCTGTCCAAGATATTATACTTTCTTTGCAATGTTATAGAATGTTATCTCCACACGAAAGCAAGCATAAATTCTTTGGAAAATAGAACAATATGAATACATTTGAAGAATACATGCTCGGTTTGTCTCCTTTTCTTTCTTGAAAAGAACCAAATGTCTATGGTCCATTCAGTGGTAGGATTCCCCTTTAAGACAAATTGACCTTTCATGGAACTCTCTCTTCAAATACCTTCCATGCAAGTCTTGTCCCTTTCATTGCACTCAGTTGCATATCACCAACATTTCTACTTCTAAATGCTTAATTAAAATCCCAAAAAATAGTATTTTAGAAATAAAATAGTTTTATATCCTTTTGAAAATTTTAAAAAATAAACTAAGTCTTTTATCATGTATTATTAAGAGACTCTAATATCATCATTAAGTGAGATTAATCTCATCAAATTCGTTTAATAAGGGAAATTTACCCCTTTTATATATTATAATTTAAATTTATTTATAATAGATGTGAAAATTTGCTTGCTTTAACTTGCACTAGTTTGAATGTAATAATTCTGCATAATGCACAGAAGACAACAACG